GAACCTCCTCAGCCTGCTGCGGGATCACTGGAATTAATTCATCTCTTACATCAACGGATCCCAGATCGAGACAACAGGAAATCTGTAGAGAAACGCTGGAGAAGTCAACGCTGCAAGAGGGAAGCAGCAACGTCGTCTGACCTGTGGGTCCCCAGGAGACGGTTACGCAGCGCAGCCCACAGCCCGCCCCCCTCCCCCCCGTCGGGATTACGCTGCTCAACTCTGCCCCTTTTCTCGAGACGGCGACCTAATCTGTAATCTAGAAGTTGTCATTTCTCCCGAAAGAGCACCAGAGATGAGGAAGAGCGGACCAGGCGCAGGAGGAGGGAGGAAGGGGGTGGGACTCTGCGCCAAAGGGACGCATCCGCCCGCCCGGCGGGGGTAACGGTGTCTGTCTGAAGTCACCGCCGCGGGAGCCGCCCCCGCTCCCTCACCAGCCAGGGTACAGGCTTCCTCTCCAATAATGAGAAGCGCCTCTCAAACACATGGGAATCAGGGCTGTAAGAATGGGAAAAAAGAGCAAGGGAAAGCAGAGGTGCCGGGCAGAGCAAACCGTCTCGGAGGCGAGAAGTAGCACCTCGGTGCGGACGGAGAGGGGGAACAGGAGGCGGGGGAGAGGGCTGCAGGGGAGGGGAGGAGAAGGCGGGAGACGGAGGAAGGAGAGAGAGGGAGGAGGGAAGGAGGGAAGGAAGGGGAGAGAGAGGGAGGGAAAAGGAGGGAGAGGGAGGAGATGAAGGGAGGAGGGAAAGATCCGAGAACCCAGCGGGCTTTGCACTCACCCGTGTTGTACACGTGCAGTTCGTCCACTATCCCCTCGTTGCCGCCGCCAAACACCACGATGAGCTCCTTGATGGCCACGGCGCGGTGGCCGTGGCGGGGCCGGGGCACTGGACCCGACCAACCCACCACTCGCTTCCAGCGGGGCTGCAGGAGCACTGCTGGCGAGTTGGCGGGTGACACGGCCGAAGCCATAGTTCCGAGAAAGGGCGCGGTGGAAAAAGTCACCAAGCGAGAAGGGAGGCCCCCAATTCCACTCACACACACCCCCTTTCGTCTAAGGCGTCTCTCACAGAGAAGCGGTTCCTCACACAGCGGTGAACGGCTCCATGGAGGCCGCCATCTTAACTATTCTCCTTCTCTTCTACTCTTCCCCTTCTTCTCGCTCACCACGTCTCCTTAAGAGCCTCCTGAAGCTGTCAAGCGCCTAGACCCGAGAAGCCGGAGGCCGCCGAGTCCCGCCGCCCTGACTACTTGCCTGGGAGCTCCCACTTAGAAGCTCGAGCGGGAGGCCCTGGGAGCCGCCATCTTGAGCCGCCTCTCTCTCCTCCCTTCCTCAATCGTAGCCCTCCCCCGCCGGAAATGGCGGAGCCCCGGCCCGGTTCCCACACCCTCCCCAAGTCTCCTGCACTGGCCGGCTTCCGGGGCGGGTGGAAATGAGCCACAAGCGCCGCGGTTGTCCCAGCCCCGCCGGAGCTCAGACCACAATTGTGGGAGCCGCCATCTTGAGACCGTCCCGCTTCCCCGCCCAGCGCTTAGTGCAGAGGCCGCTCCCTAAACAGCCTCGACACTTGTAAAGAATAGAGGCGCGCCGGAGGCCAGTGAAACGAGCTTGAGTTCTCGAGGGCTGCTCGGAGGCTCGCGCCGTACGGCTCGTGAGGTCTCGAGCGTCTCCCTTTAGTCCGCCTCTGCTGCTCAGGCTGCGCCTGCCGCCCTGGGAGTCGCCATCTTGAGACTAGCTCCCCCTTCCCCCCTATTCTCTTCCTCTTGGGTCAGTTCTTCCACTGCAAACCAAACGCAAGGCAGCGTCCGATCCTCGCTTCCCTCCTTATGACTCCTTCCCACAGGAGCCGCTTCAAAGAGGCAGAGTTAGGCCCCGAAGTGGCAACTGTACGGCAGGAGGAGCGGTAACGGCAGGGCGCTCATGCCTCCTCCCTGGGAGCCGCCATCTTGTGTGAAGAAGTAACAACTAAACATGGCGGCGGCGGCGGTCGGGCGAGGGGGCGGAGTCGGTCGACGTCACTGTTTCCCCCCCACGCCCCGCCCTCGCAGGCTTCTCCTCCCGGCCGAGGCTTCTTAAAAGAACCTCGCGCTGCCTCGCGGCGAGGGACCGGTGCCGCTGCGCGCTTTGCTTGGGGTCAGGCCGCGCTCGGGTCAGGCACAGGCGTCCCCAGCCCTGTGGCCGCCGAAGCGCGCCTCCACGCCTCCGCCCTGGGAGCCGCCATCTTGCCACTTCCCCTCGCCCGGCCGTCCGCGGGCGTCAGTAGCGACTTTCAGCACAAAACAAAGATGGCGGCTGCGGCATCTGGGGAATGCCCGGATGAGAATGCCTCAGACGCCGTTGGCCCCGCCCCCTTGGGAACTGCCCCCTGGGTCGCTGAAGGGACACACGCCAGAGGAATCGCTTTAACTAGCAGTGGGGACAGGGCACAGGTTGCTGAGGGTGGCTGACGGAGACATTAGAGTCAGGCCTCGTACCGGGGAGCGGACGTTTTCCTGCTCCGCACGCCCAGCTGCCTCCGGAAAGGTGGCCCGAAGCCCGCCTCCGGGGGAGCCGGAGGCGGGGTGGGAGTGAGCGGTAACGCGGCCTGGCGCGCCACGCCGGGGGCGGAGCCCTCCCAGGCTCCCAGGCCCGCTGTCCCGCCCCCACGCGGGGGCGCCGCCGCGGCCAACGGCGCCCCGAGAAAAAGAGCGGGGCCGCCGCGCGCCGAGCCGCCCGCCGCCCCTCCTGCTGTCGGGCGGGCAGCCAGGCTGGCGGCGCCTGAGGCGAGCGGGCGGGCGCGGGAGCGGTCCGCATCGCCCCGCGTCACCTCGCGTCACCCCGCCCCGCCTGCTTCCCAGGGCCCCGCGCCCCGCCCCGCGCGCAGGCGCACGGCCGCCTTTCGGCTCCGCCCTTTTTCGAGATTTGAATTTCCCCCAGCAAAGCGAGAGAGGCAAAATACCCGGATGGTGATCGCTGGCCTTTTCGCGCCAATCCTGTAAGTTCTCACAACAACCTTGAGAGGTGGGTACTGTCATCACCCCTATGTTCCAAATCTTGCAGGAGGCTGTCTGGTCGCTGCACTGTCATGCTCTCTGCCAGACGCAGGGTGTAATGCGCTGCTCTCCGGGCTCTTGGAATGACAACAGATGATTTTTCCTGTTTCTCTCATCTTTATTTGATCTTTACATTCACCAACCTCCAGCCGAAATTTGGCCTTTCCCGCAATTACAAGTGTAGGCAGCAAAGCACAGAGCGTTAGCCTGGTGACTGTGTCACCAAAGGAAATGACAGATCATTTGAGAGCATATAAATTTTCTTGTAGATATCCTGAAATTAAAGAAATTACAAGTTATTACAGAATAACTGCTTTGAAATTACTGTAGTTGGGCTTCCCTGGTGGTGCAGTGGTTGGGAGTCTGCCTGCCAAGGCAGGGGACATGGGTTCGAGCCCTGGTCCGGGAAGATCCCACATGCCGCAGAGCAGCTAAGCCCGTGCACCACAGCTACTGAGCCTGTGCTCTAGAGCCCGTGAGCCACAACTACTGAGCCTGCATGCCACAACTACTGAAGCCAGCGTGCCTGGAGCCCGTGCTCCGCGGCGGGAGGGGCCCCTGCGGTGGGAGGCCCGCGCACCACAGCTGGAGAGAGCCCGCTCGCAGCAATAGGACCCAACGCAGCCAAAAATAAATAACTAAAATAAATAATTTTATTTTAAAAAGGAAATTACTGTAGTTATTCAACCTGCCCATAGACCCTGTAATTTAACCTATTAGTAAAGAAGCACGTATATTACTATATCATACATTTTCAAAAATACTTTAATAACTGTCTTTCGACATGTTAAGTTTCTGTTGTAATTCTGTTTTAGTTTATGCATTTGGAAGCATTTGTTTGAGAAAAGACCAAAGAGTCCTGTGACACAGCCAAAGGACAAGAGCCCTCATCTGTGTTTCTGTGCCACCAACTGCCCTAGGTGACCTTGTCCGTTCACGTCACCTCTCTGGCCCCAACTCCTTCCCCTGTAAAATAAGGAAGCCAAGCCGCTGGTTCCCAGGCGCCTTAGCCACGTTCAGTGATTCTGTCCTCAGAGTTCAAGAATCACTACGGTAGTTCCAGGCTCCTTGGGCATCCAAGTGGCCCAGATTGAGCTCTCCTGCTGCTGGTGTCCCATGGTACAGCCCTCAGACTGGTGTCCCCTTAGCCGCAGAAAGGGAACAAGGTGGTCAGGGTAGTCACGGGCACAGTAAGCGGTTGTCATGAATGATACAGGCCAAAGAAACCACCACTGTGACACGTGACAGTGGCTCCTGCTTCAATGCATACAGACTGCGGAAGCAGGAGAGTTTAAGGAACACGTCTTAACCCCTTAGCCAGGAGATTGTCACGTTTTGCAGAACTTCCCCCAGAGACCCCAGCACCAGACCAGGGGAGAGCCCTTGGACCTTCATGTGCCGGGGGAAGCTGGGAAGAACTTTGAGAGTCATGTAACACGTGTCACAGCACCTCAGGGGTACGGAGGAGCTAGGCCATAAGGTACCCAGCCTGGCCTTCCTGGTGGACTTGGGAAGTTCGTTTGATTACACGTCACTTTCAGCTTGCGCAAGGGCTCAGTAGCCTCTGCCCAGCAGCGGGAGAGGAGTCACTTTCCACGCCCTTCCTGGGCCTCCTTGTCTATCAAGCTGACAGTGTTGGACTCCGGTCCCCAGCTCTCCTCCATGCTGGCTGGCAGACGAGAGGGTCAGGCTGGCGCTGGCCGCGTGGGGCCCAGGAGGCCTGGGTCTTCACACCAGGGAGTCGGGCCCCAGGTGGCGCCAGGGAAGGACCTGGAGAAACGAGGCCGGGCCTCAGCTGGTGTCCCAGCCAGACTCAGGAGCGGAATGGGGAAGTGCCGGTGCCAGAGCGGAAGCCATAGCCGAGTTGAGGGTGTAAGCAGGCCAGGCACAGGACGGACCCGCAGGACTACATGAGCATGGCACTTTGGTGTCTGGCCAAGAGGCTGGGGCGTGATCGTGTGTGAGTGGAGAGCCGGCCACTGAAGGGTGCTAAGCAGGGGCGGCCCTTGAGGGAGATGCTGGGGGCTGCTGTGTGCAGACCACGTTAGCGGTGGCCAGCCTGGAAGTGGGAAGCCCGGGGCAGGGGCAGCCCCCCAGCCTAGAGGCTCCTTAACCGGAAGCCGCAGCGGGGAGGCGTGAGACAGTGCTGCGTGCTGAGGTGGCGGTCAGGACAAGGCCTGCAGTTCCCTCGTGGAAATGCCGGTCCCCTTAGCAACAGGCCCCCAGGGCAGTATGGGGGCCAGAAGCCTCACCAAGACACCCAGCGGGCCCCGTCCCGGATCTTCCACGTGGGCCCCACGGCCAGTCTGAGAAGCGAAATGGCAAACAGGATGAGGAAAAAGAGCAGGGGTGCTGGTTTGGGGCTTGAACCGAAACTGAGCAGGTCTTTGCTGAGCAGCGGAGGGCGAGCGCAGAATCAGACCCTGCCCGGACCTTTCAGGGCCTGAACTGCAGGAGGGCAGGTGGACATTGGGCCTCAGAAATAAACTGTGGTCTACATAGCTAAGAACTCATTTAATTCACACCATGACTCTGCAGGGAGGTACTGGTAGCATCCCCATTCTGCAGGTATGCAAACCGAGGCCCGGAAGGGTTAAGGCCCAAGATCACACGGTTAGTAGCTGGGGGCGCTGGGCTTTGAGCATGGACAGTCCCTCTCGTCCCCACGCTTGCCTGCCTGATTGCTGTCTTCGCTTTGAGTCACTTTCAGGGCATTGAACCTCTTCTCTTGTTGATATTAATGCATCTCTTGGCTACCTGGCCAGCTTACACTGCAGCAGGCCCCAGAGCAGTTGACGGTCCAGGAAAAGTCCACATTGTTTTAAAATTATCGGACTGCTTCTGTGACTGCAGGAAGTGGAAGGTCTTCTTGTGAGCCAAGGACAGAAGGTGATTTTGAAAGGCGTGGCACTTCAGGGGCAGGCAGGAGGGTGAACCAATGGGGGACGGCTCCCTGTGCCACCTGGCCTCACATCTAAGAAGCAGAAGGGAGTCCTCCCCCGCCCTCCTCCTACCCACCCCCGCCACCCTTGCCTTAGATTCCAGAACTCGGACCACAGTTAATGGTTTCTCTTTTAACTGGGTATTTGGTTCAAAGGGCTTTGGGACTGGCTTGGAAACTTCCACATTTGTAATGCCACTGAGGTGGAAAAGCCCATTCTGAGTTTTAACAGCAGACCTAGGAAAGATTTAAGTCTCTAAATGCAGTGGCTCGAAGGGAACTAGGGCAAGGGGCGGGACTTTTATAGCACACAGATGAAAGAACAAGAGCACAGGTATCAGGAGAGAGGGGCACAAAACCTCTAGGTGAAAGAGGGTTCTAGAGCCTTCTAGAGGCCATGCATAAGAAGGTGAATGGACTGTGGGTATTCCTGCACTTTTATTTCTGTGGGGGTTTTTTCGTTTTTTTTTTTTTTCTGATGTTGGTGGATCCTGAGGCTGAGAATCGGGAAGATGGAGGCTCTTTTTCGGATGGATTTCTTTCTACCCACACTCTTTAACTACACTCTTTTTGTAACCACAAAGGAAGAAGGCAGAACGATCCTCCACTGGTGCCAACCAATCAGCAGAACCCTCGCCTTCCTCCGGGCCACCACCTCCACGCGGGGCAAGGTCGCGGCATCTGCGTCGGAAATCACGGGGAATTCTTCCTGCTGGCTCAGCTGGCAGAAAAACTGTTTATCTGAATTCTGAAATAACAGTGGAGACGGCTGCTCTCTTAAGCTCTCCGACCCGGGTCACACATAGGGTTCCAGATGAAGCCCGAGTCGGGGCAGGCCCTCTTGCACGTGGCCCTGGTCAGCTGCCTCTGCGCGGCCACCGTCCACGCTGGTGTTTTCGCAGGTGTCTCTGTCCCAGTGGGCTATGAGCACTACGCCGAAGCGCCGGTCGCCAGCCTCCCTGCCTTCCTGGCCATGCCCTTCAACTCGCTCGTTAACGTGGCCTACATGCTCCTGGGGATGTACTGGCTGCAGAGCAAGGCCAGCGCCCCGGGAGGCCCCACAGAAGCACGGAAGGCTTGCTACGTGAAGGACGTCTTTGCGGGCATGGCCCTGGTCTACGGCCCGGTTCAGTGGTTGCGCATCACGATGCAGACGTGCCCCACCGCCGTGTTGGACCAGTGGCTCACCTTGCCCATCTTTGCATGGCCGGTGGCCTGGTGCCTCTGGCTGGACAGGGGCTGGAAGCCCTGGCTGTTCCTGGCTGTCGAGGGCCTCTCCCTGTGCAGTTACAGCCTGGCCCTGCTGCACCCCCGTGGGTTTGAGGTGGCCCTGGGCGTCCACATCGCAGCAGCTGTGGGGCAGGCCCTGCGCACTCAGGGCCGCCACGGCAGCGCTTCCTCGGGGAAGTACTTGGCTCTGGGCGTGCTCTGCTGCCTGGGTTTTGTGCTCCTCAAGCTCTGTGACCACGAGCTCTCGCAGTGGCGTCTCTTCCAGCGGCTCACGGGCCACTTCTGGTCCAAAGTCTGCGACGTGCTCCAGTTCCACTTCGCCTTCTTGTTCATGACCAACTTAAACACCTGCCGAAGATGCCCTCCTGCGGAGAAGATGCGTTAAAGTGTGGAAGGAAGGTGCTAACCCACCCTAACATCAAAATGCACCCTCCGCCGGCATCCTGTCATCAGTGTTCAGAGTCCTGGGTGCAACAAGACAGGATGATGACAGAAGACTGCCCCTTCCTTCAAACGTATGGGCTTCAATACTCTGAGTATGAATATTCAACATTATGAAATGTTATGCTGTCTGCAACTTACTTTCAACGGGTTAAAGCAAATATCTAAGGGCCGGGATGTGGGGTTCCATTTTACTATTCTTGTAATTTTTCTGTAGTTTGAAATTTTTCAAAATAAAATGTTGGGGGGAAATGACCCCAAGAAATCCATCAGACTCACGGTTGGACAAAGAATGGTTGTCTGCTTCGGGATGTGGGCTACAAGCATGGGCTGGCGACAGTGGGGCAGGGTAGCCTCTGGCTGGCGTGCCAGGCCAGGCGCTGGGGTTACAAGTGAGCGTCTCCAGAGGTATCTGGCCTCAGGGAGACTGAGTCATAGTAAACACACACGCCTAGCAGACTGGTGGGGAAATCCGAAGCCCAGAGCACTAACTCACTGTGACATCTGTGACTGCCAAGTTGACAGCAGGTCAAATGGAAGTCACATCACCTCAGATCCTCTGTGGAACAACACCCACAAATGTCAAAAGGTGAATCCTCAACAGAATGTTGCTTGCCGGGTCTTCCCTCAGAGCCAGGGCATAGCTTAGATGTCCTCGGCAGCTAGGGTTACTGAAGTGTCAAGTGTCTGTCACCCACGGAGAAACCTGGGTCCTTAGGAACCATGATCCCCTGATGGCATCCCAGCGTAGGGCCATGGAGTTGGCATCTCTCAACCCCCTGGGTGGGGGGTACACTGAGGCCCAAGAGATGCTGAGCATTCTGCCTTTGGGTCGCCTGCTTGTTAACGTGTTCTTTAGACACCTGTTTCATTCCCCGTCACGGGAGAGGCATCTGGTCTTTGAAGACAAAGGCAAGGGCAGAAGGGAGAGGATGTCCTGTCCCTGCCGAATGGCGTCTCAGGACGGGCAGCCCACAGGCATCTGTTCAGTGTCCCCTGAGGCCCCTCTCCCTGGAGCCTCGAGGGTTGGCATGTGGACCGTTGCCATGACTACCAAGGTGCTTTTGAAACCGGGTACCTGGGCAGGATGTTCTGTTCTGGGCACATCTCCAGTGGGTGGCGGGTCTCAACCAGGCTGTTGCCTGAAGAATCCCGTCGGTGATCATTGCCTCTGCCCCTCCCCTGAGGACTGGGGCCCGCGGCGGGGCCTGCCGGCTTTGAAGAGCACGGCCAGCATTTGCTTCGGGAAGCAGCTTTGTTCCACTACAGTTATCTCGAAGGCTTTGTGTGTCCTAGAAGAGGAAGAAGGCTATGGGCATCTCCTCGAAGAGGCCAGAGAGAGGGAGGGGAAAGACATGATTTCTCGGGTGGCTCAGTTAGAGACGGAGGTGGCAGTGTGGAGGAATGGGGGAGGACCAGGGTCTGATGTGGGGTGGGCTCTGATTCCCCCCTGCTTGGCAGAGTGGATCCCCTGAGAATTGGGGCTTTGCATAGCCTCGTGCATTCCATGCCTTTGAGCCGCAAGCACTCATAACTTATTTTGTTGTTTTTATTTTATTTTATTTTTACCAATACCTATTTAATAAATAACCCTGGGAACCTCCTGGGTTTCATTCCACTCGTGTGTCAGGCTGGGTCCCCACAGGAAACAGATGTCACGCTGAGATCAGGGTGATTCAGGACTGTTTCATGAAGAACTACGAACACCACTGTGCCGCGGGGAGGGAGGAAAGGGGGGAACCGCAGGGGGTCTTTTCCACTCTGGGGCCTGGGGAGACCCTGGGTGGGGTGGACTCCACACAAAGGAGAGACTCGTGTGGAAGGGACGCCTCGCATGGGGCGGAAACCTCCAGAAGCCCAAGGTTGTCAGATGAAATGCAGGACATCAAATAATGTTTTAGTACCAGTGCGTCCCCAATGTGTCATGAGATGTGCTTATACTGAAAAAGTGTTCATTGTTTATCTGAAATTCAGGTTTCACTGCGTGTTCTGTCGTTATTTGCTAAATCAGACGACCCTATATTGAACCCATCCAACCAAAGCCAGAGGCCTGGAACCTTCTCTCTCTGCCCCCTGTTTTTGATCAGCGTTTCTCGAAGTGTGGCCAGCCTTAGCCACGCAGCTTCCTGCGTCCCCTGCAGCCCTGGTGAGTCCTGGCTTCCGGGGCCGGGGCCTCAGCCAGCCTCAGCCCTGCTCCAGGCTGCGAGGGCGCCCGCGATGTCTGAGGTGCCAGAGGACGGAGGCTGGCGGCCGGGCCCCCTCTGGGCTCTGCTCTTTCCTCTGCAACTTGCCCCCGGAAAGGAGAGAAGCCAATGGTTACCAGACGGGCCCTCCCCCTGCGTCTGGCCTAACGGCTTAGAGGCTCCGAAGCTGGGAGGGATCTCAGAAACCATCTGCGCAGCGCCCTCATTTCGCAGAAACTGAAACTATACATGTGCAACTTTGCTGAAGGTTTCAACACCGAGCATGCGAAAGGCAGGCGGCGGCCTCCAGGCCCTTCTGCTGTGATGCCCCACCTCTCCCGGGAAGCAGTGACGGTGGCGGCACCACCTGGCCTCTTCCTCACTTCCCCACACGTGGCCTGGGGATCCGCTCCCCCTGAAAGTGGTGGCATTGGTTTTGCTCTGATCGTGCAGGTATACAGGCTCACGGTGGGGACGACGAGCCACCTGAGAGCGCCATCAGGGTTGCGGTGGCCCCAGCATGGGACACACCCCCCTGCACCTGTCTTTCCCGCTCACGGTGCTGGGCCCAGATGCCGCCCCCGGCCCCGCGCTGCTGCAGTGGCGTCTATACCGGCCACCCTCACCCCAACATCCTGTACCTGCCCCTTCGCCCCAGAGCTCGCCTTCCTCTGGGTCAGGATCAGGGGCACCCGGGTTGCCTTTGCCACTGACATTATGGTTCAGTTTCTAACGGCGATGAGAGAGGCTGGGCAAGGCGTCGGGGGCTTTTCCATCTTGTGCCAATCTGATGGGGGCAAAGCAAGACCTCGTTGTGACTTTAACTCGTGCCCCTCCACACACACGCATGCACACTTGTGCACAACTGGTGCTTGTGCACCTGTCTGTTGGAAGTTAGGATTTATTCTTCTGTAGGTTGTTGGTTTATATCCTTTCCTCATTATTGGACTTTTCTTCCAAAAGTTTGCAGGGGCTTGTTTTACATTATAAACATTAACCATTCATCTGTCACACAGATGATACGTACGTTTTGTTAATCTCATTTGTCTTTTGCCTTTGTGGGCATCTTAAAGGAACGTGGTTGAAGGTTTCCCCAGTCATGGATGTCTAAACGTCTGTCTTTTTCTTTGTAGCTTTTGGGTTTCTTGTCTATACATCAGGTAGCTTTGTCGAATCTTAACATCTCCTATAGCTGCTTCAGGTAGTTTTCATTATAAAAAGTTAATTATAAAATTATTGAGACTAATACTCATAAAATAGTTGCAAGTTACATTCAGAAACAAAGCAGTGCAGCTGTCATCACTGTTAACAGGACAGTTCACCAAACTGTACTTGCCGGAGCCCTTCACAATCATGTTCCATGGCGGAGAGGAAATGCCCAAACCCCGTGGAGCATGTTTCATCGCAGCCTGGGGGACAAAGGAGATTTTGTTTCTCGGCACTTAAAATTGGGCACGTCCCACAGGTAAACATTTCCCTCTCACCTCCGAAAGCCTCCATGAGTAGAAATCTTTGGGTAAATATAAACTAGGCAATTTCTGTTCCCGAGCGAGCCCCCAAATAGCTATGAAATTCGAGAGCGCCTCTTCCCCTTCTAAGTGGGTCTTGCTTTCCCAGTGTTTTCAGCTGCCAGGTGCCCCTGGAGCCCTGGCTGCCTCTCTGCTAAGCGCTGAATTCTGGGGCCTGGCGCCCACAGGCCGGGAAAGCTCCTTGCAGCCCGCGCCCTGCTAGCCCAGCAGGCCCTTCTAACCGTTTTCATGTGTTTCTAGTCTTTTCTTCCGTTTCCTGCCTTTCACTTGGATCTTCAGAACTGCTGACTTGTGGTTTTACTTCTGCCTCTCCTTTCTCATGCAGCCTAACAGATCACACAGGGGCCTGACCCTACTCTCCTGCCCCAGAGGAAACCACCGTCCGGAGTTGGGTGGAGTCCACTCCCCAACACGTCCCGAGACCTTTCCCACAGGGGAGCCGTCTCGCACGTGCTGTAACCTTCCCTAGGTGCACCACGTGGCCCTGATCCGTCTCCCACCGGCTTCGGGACCGGATCTGTGGGTGTTTTTCCCCAGGTCTCCTGGCTGCCCATCAGGGTACTTCCTCCTTTGGTGCTGCTGTCCGGGCCTCTCTGCCTACATGTGAGCACGTCGCCAGGGGATCTGCCTGTGCACAGCACATCTGCACTTCAGCCGAACCAGAAGTTGCCAAATCCCTAGCCACGGTGGTTGCTGAAATGACTGCCCAGCAGAGCTCCCGTTGCTCCGTGGCCTCACCAGCACGTAGTACTGGGAGAGGAGTTACTGTCTGCTGCTCTGATGGCAGTGAACTAGAATTTCATTTCTTTATGGTTTGCCTTTCCCGGCTTAAAATTGAGGTTGCCTGGAAAAATCAAACATAGGATCCAGCAATTCCACTTCTGGGTATCTCCCCAACAGAAGAGAAAGCAGAAAAACAGAAATATAGATCAATGGAACAGGATAGAAAGCCCAGAGATAAACCCACGCACCTATGCTCAACGAATCTATGACAAAGGAGGCAAGGATATACAATGGAGAAAAGACAGTCTCTTCAATAAGTGGTGCTGGGAAAACTGGACAGCTACATGTAAAAGAATGAAATTAGAGCACTCCCTAACAGCATACACAAAAATCAACTCAAAATGGATTAAAGACCTAAATGTAAGACCGGACACTATGAAACTCTTAGAGGAAAACACAGGCAGAACACTCTATGACATACATCACAGCAAGATCCTTTTTGACCCACCTCCTACAGAAATGGAAATAAAAACAAAAATAAACAAGTGGGACCTAATGAAACTTAAAAGCTTTTGCAAAGCAAAGGAAACTACAAACAAGATGAAAAGACAACCCTCAGAATGGGAGAAAATATTTGCAAATGAATCAACGGACAAAGGATTAATCTCCAAAATATATAAACAGCTCATGCAGCTCCATATTAAAAAAACAAACAACCGAATTCAAAAATGGGCAGAAGACGTAAATTGACATCTCTCCAAAGAAGATATACAGATGGCCAAGAAGCACATGAAAAGCTGCTCAGCATCGCTAATCATTAGAGAAATGCAAATCAAAAC